TGGTGCCGAGCAGGAGCAGATCGAATGAGGAATAGAATGATATGTCTGGGATTCTCCTCCCCCCTCCTCTAAGGTTCGACCTTATCCCTTATATATCGAGATAGGTCAGGTACATGGCGGTTTAAGGGCATGTGTCTATGGTCTACATGAGCCGGAGTCTAGGAGGGTCTTGCAGCGACGCTCTGTGGACTGTGGCGTTGTCATGGAGCCAAAGAAGGCTTGGGTGTCGTCCAGCTGCTATATTCTGACACTCTGCATGTCAGGCTGTGTCGGCTTGGACCGGCCTTCCCTAGCTGGACTTTCTAGAGTCTTCTTGGTGGCGAAGGAGGTTGGGTCACACGCGGGCTCGGGGGCTGCTAAGCCCCTGGAGGTCGAGGGAAACTTGTCTTCGTGTGTCACGCCACGTGTATGACCCTATCGCGGGAGCGGCCGGCAAGGCCGCTCTCGAAGTGTGGCGTCTAGGAGCCCCTGAGCCTCGGTGGCTCGGGGCGCGTCTTCTTGCGCCTAGGTCTTGGCTAGCGTCATAGGCTGGGCAGGAGCCAGGGCCCGAGCTCAGGTGTGTTGTCAATCGGGAGCATGAGGCTCGGGTGAGCCCCCAAGCCTCGAGTGGGGTCCGTGGCGTGCTCAGGCTCGGGCTGGCTTCCTCGTTGGAGTATGCGCGCGAGCGTATTCGATGGGTATAGCTCCTGAGCCCCCGACGATCCTAGAGGTGTCGGTCGAGGGTCTCTTCGGTCGGGAACCATTAATCCCGAGGCTTAACATATCCATATATTAGGATTTCGTTACCTAGCAAGCTAGAATAGAAATGTAAGGTACACAACTAAGGAATGCAAATAAGGGCGGAAGAATAAATGAGATAGTGATAAAAATAACATTTGATGATGATATTTTTCCATAGGTATGCACGCTTTCCTCCGGTTCTCATTGAATCCTCTTATAAGGATGCTCTTCTCTTGCTCATGCCCACGCAACGCGCGGAGGAATGCCTAGTTATTTCAAGTTTTCAGGAAATCAATTGGTATCTATCCTGATTTTGTGCTCACCTAGACAAACAATATTTTTGGTGATTATCACAAAAGCTAATATAATAGAAAATAGTTTTTAAAAAATTACATATAAACATAAACACTTTTTTAATTCACACGTCTAAACTTAAAATATTAATTATTTTTTGAGAATTCCGTAATATTTTGAGACAAAGAAAGTACTAGAAAGATTTTTATACATCTACTACAAGGAAAAAAATGCTGAAAAACTATTAGATTAGGAAAAAAAAAACATGGACATCACCTTGCCATTACAGATTGGCTGTCGCCACATCTCAGCGGCTCAGCCTTTTCATCCCGTGTTCTCCCTCTAGTGCGGCAACTGGGCGACCACCGACGCCGGCGCCCTACGCCAGGTGCCCAGGCCTTCATCAGTACCTTCACAGACCTTAGTCGCGTTCTTCGCCGGCGACGACCACCCACAAGGGTATCGCACTGTTTCTCTTCCGTTTCTGTAGACACCCGAACCCTAACTTACTATTTGGCTACTTGTATTCCGATCTGATCTAGCCCAAAAATCCCAGGGAGCAAGTCTTCAGCAGCCCCCTCGCTCCCGAGCCCTCCACGAGCGACCGCGCCGGCGCACCCCCGGCGTCGGGTGCCAGCGGCCCGTGCTGCCTGCTGCCTACTGCAGCACATCACAGCTCACGGTAAGATCAGTGCTTATTTGTTCAGGAAGCTACTATGGGAATAAATTCTTTTAGTACTGCTGAAGAGAGTTAGGAGAGGGGAAAACTTTCATCAGATCGGTAGCATGTGTTCAGTAATTTGCTGAAAAAAATTTGTGGATGCAAATTGGCAACAGATCAATTGCTATGTATCTGCCTTCTGTGCTGATGACATCCCACACAATACCTCCTCTATGTATTACTTATTAACACTTTGAATTGATATAGTCAATTGTGTTGATATCATCAATTGTGTTGTTTGTTATATCTATTAGTGTGTGGCTATTAAGATTTGTAGCCTTCTATTATGGCTGCGTTTCCAATTATGACTATGGCCTTTTATAATTAACTCTAAAAGTTGATTATATCTATTAGTGTATGAAATTGAACTAGTGCTCGAGTTTTTTGTTCGTGGGTTGGAGGCCATGGCCGCTGCACCGTGGTCCCAAATACGGCTTATTTAGCCCCCCTTGTCCCTATCCTGGATCTGCCACTGCATCAATACATGCCCTTTTTTCCTCCCCTCACCCCCAGGGGGTACGCAACATAGTCAGCAACATCTTTAGTTGGATATTGCAATGGTAGTGACTCGGTTGATGATCTTGCAATAATTTGGTGCTAGAACTTGTGGTGGTGGGGCCTTATACTTCTTACACTGGAGTGCTTGATTGTTAATTAGTAGAGTTTAGAAAACGCCGATGGTTTTGCTGTTTTCTTCTCTACACAGCCCTTGCTTTTGTTACCTTTTGTCATTTCTCTAGTCGTATCAACAAAGGATTTGGTAAACTTGAAATTGAAGTTCGTGAGAAGAACTGATGTCAAGGATCGTCACACTGATGACTGGCGTGGGCCCTTTTGTGACATGGTTATGGATTTTCTGATGTGGAAAATATAATCCTTCCTACATAAGTGAATTGAATTCGCTACAGTGTGGGAGCTTTGGTTTTCAGAAAATTATGCTTTAGCTCTTTGTGAGGATTTTGATGCCAATATTATTGGTCATGCTCAGCCTTATCCATGAATGATTTATGATACAATATTGTGGCATTGTATTCCATCTTGTTTTCAATTCTAGTTGGTAAATGGAAAGGGTGGGAGCATGTTGTTCATCAATAACCAACTGAAGATCTCGTTTATTATTTTTGGTTCTAATGCATATAGTTTGCTACTTTGCTTCCCCTTTTGAACTGTAGTCTGCAAGTATATGTGTGCGATTCAATGTAATCACCTTTTGTATGGCACTCTTTTTCTAAGTACAGATGGCAAGAACAATTAATTCCTTGATGTACAAAGGATCTATTCCCGATGCAATTAATCAATCAAGAAGGGAGAAGAAGCTCTTTGTAGTCTACATATCTGGTGATTTGTCCTCACTTCCCAGCTATACTTTGCACCTCTTGAAGAATATCTATGCCAATTCTCTAGTTTTAAATCCTAATTACGAATGACAATGTTCATGTCAGTCTTGCACTAGTCGAATAGGAAGATAGGTTGCCAACTTTTTTCTTTCTTTTTTTTTTCTTGCTGGGATAAATTAATTGAAACTTGTGCAGTCCTTTTTGTCAAAATCTGATCTTGTTTTCTTCTAGTATACATATTACTAGGTTAGCTATATTTCTTTGATACCTCTCTGTTCTAATTGTTTTCCTATAAGCTATGTGAGTTTCATTAACCTATGCAGTTTTTAATTGAACTGATGTGTCTGCCTGTTCAGTGCCTTAGATCAACTTGCCATTGTACTTTGCAGTTGGAGGCAACTTGTAAACAACAAAAGTTATTGCCATGTATAATCTTATGTTATTTTTTGACTTGCAGTTGTTAGGGTTTATGAGGTAAAAGGTAATATGTTATGCTGTCATGGTCTAGTCATGGTTCATGTTTCAGTGGTGCTACTTTTCATGTGAGTGGAAAGTTTTTTTAATTTAACCAACATGTCTGATCAGTAGGCTAGCTTACTTTGCACGTGGAGGTGATCAGTAAACAACAAAAGTTATTGCCATGTATAATCTTGATATCATTTTTTTCCATTACTCCTTGAAATTGTTAGGGTTTGTGAGGTTAAAGGCAATATGTTATGCTGTCATGTTTCATGTTTCAGTGGTGCTAATTTTTCATGAGCAGTGGCGAATTTACTGGATTTGAAGCCAATTAGTTCTAAGGCTGTCCTGCTTGATCCTGGGGTGTTTCTCTCTGTTTATTTTTATTATCTGATCTGAAAATAAGCTCAAGTTATCATGTTGCCAAAGTTTGTTTCTCCTGCTTCGTTAGCAAAGTGCTCTTTTGGAAAATCCAACACTATACACATTGGATTGTGATCAGCCGAGCCTATTAATCGAACAATATATCTTTGTTACATTTCAGGTGAAGATGAGGCTTTGAGTAATTTGGAACAGTCAACACTGATTGACGAAAACGTATGCTCTTTAACTTTTGTTAGAAGTTGAAGAAATATTTCTGTCGTATTATTAAGTATCCACATTACCATATTGCCCATGTATTTGTGTTTGTTTATACTGTCAGGTGGTTGAAGTGATCGGTAGATGTTGCATCTTATTGCATCTCAAGCAAGGCAATGTTGATGCATCACAGTTTTCAGCTATCTGTATCCTTTTATATGTTTCTTATGAATTATAACATTAATGTTTGCTCTGGATTTGCTGTGTTTGACATAATGCCCTCATTGTTCGGTACTCGGCTATCAACTCTATGATAAGGTTTACCTATAAATTTTGGTGAGCTTTTTTATCTAAAGGTGAAATGTGCTTATGCATTCTTTAGCATGTTTATGTTGTAAGGATAAGGATATAATATTAACACTGCGATGAGATATACGTCTGGCAAGAGAAGAGAAAGATGTTTAGTTATTGTGATGAGTGATGTTCTTCAAAGTTCACTGGGAGCAGCAGCAGAAGGCTAGCAAACCGATCTAACTTTATAAATTTGTCTCCTTGCATTAGATTGATTAGTTGGAATTTTTTTTCAAAAATTTTGAACTGTTCAATGTCTTTGCGTTTCTATTTCTAATGGTTAAAAGAAAAACTAGTATTTTCCTAAACCAACAAACATTTTGCATTTTATCCTAGTATTTTCTTTTGAGTTTCAGCCCTTACATGTCCATAGTTATGATTTGTTACAAGCCAATGTTTGGCAGTCCTCGGAAGTAAAAATGGAGAATTAATTATAGCCACATGCTAGCAGTCTAGATGGTAGTATTCACTGCCTCATGTCTGCCAGGTTTAATCCCACTACCAGAGGTATTAACTGCCTAAGCAAGCGTGGAAGCGCCATGAGCCTCGACTGCTATGTTGCCTGTTTTGCACCTCTGTCTGCTTGCTTAGCCCTAAGCTCTGCCATGCAGAGCTACACTCAATCCTGCATAGCACCTGCCTTGCTGAGGTGGGCCTGCACCTTCAGTCAATGTCACACCCCTATCTTAAGCACAAACCACCCTAATGCCATGCTCACATGGCCAAATCAGGTCAGTTGCCACTCGTGGGTTTACACTCAGTGTCAAATGTGCCAATACATAGCACATAGGTGCCATTACCTGCACGGCAATGACAATCATATAATTTCCATCTCTCAGCCATTTTGATACATGGGTAGTGGGAGGAAGAGGCTGTTTGTTGCCAAGAGCTCAACAATATAGGAATGGCTGTAACTTGTCTGAGAGTTGGTTACTAGATTTGAATATCCTCACACTTTTCTCTTTGCAAATTTTTGAAATTTAGTTGGTTGCAACTGGAGAAGCTACCAATGACCAATCTAAGCGTTCAGAGTAGGGAATTGTAATTAAGGCATTAGCTTTATTTGGTTAGTGTGTTGAATAGCATCTCAAAATGCAACTATTTTGCTCAATGGTACTTAAATGACAAACTAGTTATCTAGTGGAGAGGTCCCACAGTTAAATTAGCGACAATCTATTGCAGATATTCTAACGTCATGTGTGTTCTGATTAATATTGGACTTCATCCTTAAGTCTTTCAATCAGATCCCCAGAAGTCTGTACCAAGTATATCAGTGATTGGACTGAATGGAGTTTTGCTGTGGAATCATGGTATGAGTATAATATAACAGAACTTAAGGCCAAAACGACAGTCCTTCAATAGGTAATGATTTTGGCCAAGTGCTAATATGAGTAATTTTCTCAGAGGGATATATCAACTCTGAAAATCTGAAAGAAAGTATCGAGAAAGCTTGGGCTGCCCTTCATCTACAGGTATGTACAATACAAGTTCCATGTTTTAATTCTACTATCCTGTTCCAGAAATGCTTATGATGCGGATGATGGATCCATTTCTGCCTGTATATGTTGCACCAACACGTGGTGTTGCTCAGTTAGTGCTTGATAGTTGAGTCATATATGAATTCTTTCCTTGTCTCATATCCTGTGTGGTTTTAATGTATAACACATCCGATACTTAAATCATAAATCAAATGAAAGGTGTGGTTGATGGTATCTACTCCCAAGTCCCAATAAATGTTAACAGAATTAATTGAGACAATTAACGTCAAACCATTTGTTTGTAGAGGGGGTAGAGATTCCACCTTACTAGAATGAGAACATAATTGGATAGTCGAGGGAGTAACAGGCATCAGAGGTGGAAGTTGCAAGGTGCTGGGTGGAGATTAAGCAGCACACAGGGTTGTCAGTTTCGGAGTGACATTCGCAGCAATTTCTAGCTATAGCTATTTTTTGCTTATGGGAGCCACGCACACCTTATGTCACTAGTGTACCGACTCGCCAACAAGGTAGGGTCCAGGAAATGGAATTGTGGGCTGCCTTACCCATGTTAGTCGCTGAATTCTCACTCTTGGTAGTAGGAGAATTCTTACTCTCATCGAGAGAGGATGACACTAGGAGTTGGGGCAATTTTCTTGTCTATTTCTTACTCAAATGCCATGCCAACCTGAGGGGTTGGGGTTACATATTTATAGGCTGCTAGCCAGCCAAGCATATGCCAAGATGCTAGTCTAAGATGCTAGTCTAAGATGCTAATATGCTGTCCTAGCTAAGATGCTGTCCTCTAGTCTAAGATGCTGTCCTCTAAGATACTGTCCTCTAGTCTAAGATGCTGTCCTAAAAACAGAAAAACAGCCACAAGGACCATGTGAGCAGTACAGCACCACAAAGACCACATATGAGACTTATCCATCAACCCATGCTCTCAGGTCCTGCGAAAGGGCCTCTAGCTGAGTTGGTTAGGTGGCTTGAATAGCACTTCCCATGTCCTGGGGTTCGACTCCCCGTGGGAGCGAATTTTCAGGTTGGGTTAAAAAATTCCCCTCGTCCGTCCCATGCAAAGCATAGGTTTGAGGCTTGGTCCTGGTCGCGGTTGTTCTCAAATGGGCTACGGTGCTGTTGTGTAGGGGTGGGGCAGGGGTTCGGGGGTTTTCTCGACCTACATGTGAAGGTCTTCTTCTTAATTCAATATCCGGCCATCCGGGTGCTACCTTACCCCCGCAGGTCGAGTTGTTTCTTACCCATGCTCTCAGTGCAAGAAAAGGGGAGGGGCGGGGGGGTTGGTTGGTTGGTTGTGTCCTTGCATCATTTTATGTCCATCCTGCTGTTGGCAGTTGGTAGCGAATGGGTCCTTGTAAATTCTACTGCCTTCCGCCCTTCCGTATTTTCAAATTTGTCTCTTTCCTCTGGAATTTTACAGAGAACCCTTCAGATTCTGTTGATGGAACCATACTAACCCGTTTTCCTTTACCCAACATATTTGGAATTTGCCCTTTTGGATCATCTTTAACATAAAATCATGACTCACTTAGATAGCCTTATATCTGATAGTTGAGGTTTAGGTTCCACAATTCATTTTAGTATGGTTTCATTTCAGTAAGAAAAAAATAGTCGAAAATAGAGCATCATGGATACCAGCAGGCTTGAGAACCAACTTGAGATGATCTATAGCATGCTAGTGCCTGCCTTTAGTGAGGTTGTGTACTGTTCAGTTCAGCAGCTCTCTGAATCTGTTTTGGTCCTTTGTCTATTTCATAAATCGGGGGTGTGTAGTTTTATTGGCTTAACAACACACTTTTGATAATTGCTTAGGGCATGGACATTGTCGGATACACACATTTTCCACAGTAATTGGAGGGTCTGGCTCCAATTCCACCTGTACAGCCTACACAAATAGGCCTATTTCTCTAAGGGCGTACCCAGTGCAGAGGGCTCCCGCTTAGGCCACTCCAAGTGACAAGTCTTACTGAGTTTTTGTATTTCATTGCTCAACTGTAACCATTCAGGCTGTGCTGGTTTTGTATACAGTAGGCTGTTCTGCAGTTGGTTTGACCTCGAAGTGGTAAATTGTGCTGTAATTTCGTTGCTTTATGGTCATGAAGTTTGGGTTTCCCGTTGTGGAAACTGTAACTATTCAGCCATGATCATGCATGCTAGCATGTTACTACAGAGTACTTTCTCATACTGAGATCATATCTTTGAGGAAAGAAAATAATATGGCCTTTCATTTCTTTATGAAAGTTTTGAAGAATTTGGCCTGTCACTAGAGCTTTTGAAAAGATACCATGTGATTTGACTACCAGTCAACCAGTAGTGCTCTTCTAAAGATATATACCTGTGAATTTTTGTAGGAGACAGCGGCGACCTTGTTGACAGCATCGCTTGCTTCAAGAAATGCTGAATCTGTGAATACTGCTACTACTGTTTTGGTTGCTCAAGGGGGCTCTTCTACTTTAGAAAATCCTTCTGATTCATCCAGTCAATCACCAGATGTTTCTGGTGCCAGTGGAGTTGCTCATTCAACTGATCTGGTGTCACAAGTTCCTAGTAGCACCACCCTTTATGTAAGTTGTTTTTCTTGCCTGTATTCTGTTACCGGGGTGTTTCACCCCATGATGTACATAAGTTAAGGTGATAAAACACTGCTTATCTGCACCAGGAACCTCTTGAGATAAATGAAAAAGAAGGTTCAAAATCAGACTCAGGTGATAGAACTGTTGAGAAGCTAGGTTCAACAAATACTGAATTTAATTGTGATTTGGTTGATAGTTCAAGGAAATCAAATACGGTCAGTTCTGCAGATACAAAAGGAGAAGACATTACACCATCAGCGAAAAGAAAGAACAAAGATGATGGAAGTCACACTTCTGTCCCCATGGAGGATACTCCTAGTACAGTCACTAATAGAGGGGTTTCTTCCCAGTCACTTGTGTAACAAGACAAGGCAACAACTTCTGGCCCCCCTCTTATTTCTGTGCAGTCAGATGATATTCAGCTTAGTATTCGTATGCCCAGTGGAAATAGACTGGAGATCAAAGTAACAAAACAAGATGTTTTGAGGAAAGTGAAGAATTTCGTGGATGAAAACAAAGGCCATGAGCTTGGCTCATATGATCTTTCTCTGGTTTATCCAAAAAGAGTCTTCTCTGAACAAGGTACTGAATCGTTATTTTTGGTAGAAATCATTTGTCTTGAGATCAGTTTGTATTTCTTCTTCATTCTCAAGTTTTTGACCTGATAGACATATGATGCATCAGCACAGAACATTTGGGGCTTATTTGGATGCTGTAGTTCTAAAATCCCATTTTTTTCTTGATCACATAGGAGAGCTGCGTATCTTTGTATTAAAGAGAGAAAGAATGGAGGACTAATCAAGTTAATGCTAAATCATGACAATTGTGCCCAACTCCTGAAGCTTTTTAGCTCCAGGCAGGCACCACATGTTCATCTCCTCCCTGAAAAACCAATGGGCCTCCATGAGAGGAGATACACCCTCAAAAACACATTTGTTTCTATGGGAGCCACAAAGTCCAAGCCTCCCAAAATTGCAGCATTGTTAAAGCCTTTCCTTGAAGGTTTATCAACCCTTGACTCGCTTTTCTAAAACACCATCATATCAATAAATTGCAGTTTAGAAGCTAGAGGCATGCAATGCCACTGTTTCAACAAAGGAGGTCCTGAGGGGAGTTTTTAAAGCTCCAAAAAGACTACATTTTTTTTTGCAATATCATGGTTTTTAAAACAAAATTTGTTGCATCCAAACACCTTGTGTCTTTCTAAAACCCAAGTATTTCTCTAATATAACTATATATCTATTTTTTCCCCTTGCCCTTTAGCACAGTTTCCAAAACCAGACTACACCGCAATTGAACCTAGAAGAAATAAAAGGAGTACCAGAACTATCAATTTTGGCTGGCTTGGTAAATTGAAAGGCATGAAGTCCATGAGTCAATAAATTGAAAGCAGTGTTGTGTGAATGCTGAAGTTGCATTTCTCGTACTGACGTACCATGAATTTTTTTTTTCTTTTCTGTATTTTGGTTTTGCATGATGACCATTGCCCTTGAATTTTTTTTATCTTTTTTCTGGATGCTGAAGTTTTTAATATATCTAGTTAAATTGTCAACAAATCTTGTCCAGATATGGAAGCAACACTATCTGAGCTGGGTATTCAAAACCGTCATGCAATGATTGTTGTTCCACATCGGCAGCCTGGTCAGGTAACAAGGCCTCAGTCATCAGCATCTTATGATGTGGGTGGCAATTCAGGTGCGGGGGGATACTTTGGTTACCTGAGAACCGTGCTGTCTTATGTGAATCCACTCTCCTACCTGAGGGGAAATACGAACTCATCAAATCCAGAGCTACAGTCAAATGAAGGCCTGCAGCAGCTTAGTATGTTTTCTTATTTAAATTTTATTTCTAGTCAATGACGGAAGTGTATTGGCATTTTCATTTAAGCTTTTTATAGTTCTGTAATGTAATTTCTAATCAGTGCAATTATCTCTACATTTCTGAAACAGGACATGGATCTGGTCAGCCACGGCCTCTTGTTGGCAATAGGGGCCATGAAGTGAATGATGCAGACTCTGCAAACACGCTGCGAAGGCGGCCCAGACCATTTGGTGCTAGTGTCCACACTCTTGGGAGCGAGGATCATGGTCCATCTGATGAAAGAAATGTATTCTGGAATGGGAACTCGACAGAGTTTGGAGGCGATGACAGAAAATAAGTTATGGTGTGGCAGGGCCACGGACGACAGAATCAGGCAGAATTGAAGTTGGGAACAGACACCTGAAACAAATGCCTCAACATGCTTATTGAGGAATCAAGTGTTGAGATTATAATGCGAAAGTAATCGCTAAATTGTGACGTTTATATTTGTGGAAACATTATACGGTCGCTGGATAAGTGTACTCGTTATATATATAGTAGATAGATATATTAAATCCGAACTGCTTGGTTCTACTGTCTTGATCGAACGACATTTGTTTTGGTGGGCTACGAACAAAATTCGCAGCAACACAATGCGTAAAACAGCTTCTGAGTTGGGATGAAAGGTGGACACGTCAGTTTTGGAACCAAAGAGGGGTCACTTAAAACTAAATCTAGGCGCAAATTTGATAACTAGAAAAGCAATAAGTTAACTTGCACAATGTGCAGTTACGGTTTTTAGTGTGTTTTACACTAACAGCATAAGATCTAGATCTAATATTTTTAACTAGCCTGTGCTACTCTGTTAATCTACAAACGGTACAGGCCACATGGATCAGTGCAATGCAGAAGATGTCGATTGCCAAAACATAACCCTTGGTCCACGTAGAAGCTCCATAAGAGAGATGCTGCTGTAATACCTCTGGTGTTAAGCTGGGAAGAGCACATGCATTTTTAGGCATTATCCTTATAAGCATCTTTAGTCATTATGTGTTATTGCATGTGCTGGTTTATATAAAATGTTATGCCAAATTATACAAGGAAACTAACTCTGCATTAGGGATTCAGAAACTTAATCCTGAATAAATTTGAAAATATATTTCTGTGTTTCAGTTCTCATCATCAGTATTACATAATTGACAGTAACCAAATGGCTCAGAACTGACTGAAATTAATTTTTATTTACTTGCCTTAACCTTTTTCCCTAAGCCCTGAATAAAGCAACCCCTGATTGCAACTAGTTTTAACCAGGTGAAACCCAACCTATGCTGGACTTTTTATGCAACCAGTTCCAACTCTGATAGAATCAGCCCATTTCGACTGAATCCAAGCTTTACTGAATTTACATAGAGGTATCTACTGATTCCAACTAATTCCATCTAATTGAAATTGTCTTGAACTAGCCTCAATCTGAATCAAGCCTTCCTGAATTTCTAAAGAAGTAGCTACTGATTCTAACTGACTCCAACTAGTTCAAACTGCACTATACTGAATCAGCATCGACCTGAACAAGCCTTGGCCTCGGTTGCAACCAATTGCAACTGTCTCAAACTCACATTCAGACTCCACTAAACTTGACCGACGTTTGAGTCCCAACCAGTTGCATCCAGTTGTAACTAGCCTAAACTCAATTGGAAGACAACGAAACCCGCCCAGACTGAACCAGTTGCAACTAGTTTCAACTGGGTTCAGGCGCTGATTGACCAAGTTAAAACTGGTTCCAACTGACCCATTAGTGACATGTTTTAGTCAATTTAGACTGTCAAACCGCTATGCCCATGGTTTTCACCCCACCTTGAACACTCCGTCACTACTACAGAATGTTACTGTAGGGGCGGCTCTAGAGCCTCTGTAGGGGCGGCTGCGCCAACCGCCCTTCCCAGGGTGTTCCTACAGAGGGTGCCTCTGTAGGGGCGGTTTCCTAACCGCCCCTACAGTTCCCTCTGTAGGGGCGGCTGATGTTTTCAGCCGCCCCTACAGTTCCCTCTGTAAGGGCGGCTGGTAATATCAGCCGCCCCTGTAGTGGACTTCTGTAAGGACGGCTGTATCACCAGCCGCCCCTGCTGTGTGTATTTATAAGGGCGGTTCAATCAAGAACCGCCCCTACAGTGGATTTTCCAGAAAAAAAAAAATTCAAATTCAAATCTGACCACATATATATATATAATGCAAATTCGAATCTGACCGTCACAAATATACATATATACATCCACAAACACAAGACCATCATCACAAATCATAATTCACAAAAGTCCATCATTACAACATAGTCCATTATGAAGTCCATCATTATAACATAGTCCATTAAGATATCCACAAGTCCACATGCAAAACAAAGTCCAAACCGTTCCAAAGTCTGATCCAAATCATACCACAAGTCCACATTGTCATCAACGGCCTAGGGCTAACCTATCAGTCTCCCGAAGGTGTTGGTACAGAGGATTACTACCTAAGTCGAAAAGAAGATGATGGTAAGTGCCTTTATGATACACAATCTGGTCCATTATAAAGTTGCAAAGGTCGCCGACCATCTCTAAGAGCTCGTCATCCTTGTATGGGTTCCTTCTCGTGTCTTTATCTTTCTCCAACTACAAGAGAACAAGTTTAGGTTTACTATATCACAACATATGCGAACTTTTCATACTACGAGCGAAGAGGTTCAAACTTACCAGATTGGGGTTTCTGTTGTAGCCACCGATGGTACTCATCATAATACATGTGTAGTATCCACAATGTAGACTCCCAGGCTTCTGCTTGGGGCACTGTGTGTTTTGCATATGGAGATGTTAAGTAATGCTATTGACAGACACGTAATATATGGAGTACCAAAGTAAATGACACTTACCGCACATAGAGTTTTAACATACAACTTTTCCTTCCTATTTGGATGATGCCTCCCCTTATGTTCCTGGACATAGTGCCTGAATGCCCCGTTCTAATGGTTTTAGCAAATGCAACTTGTTAGTATCCCACATTGAACCTTAAATGTATACAAACATAGTAGCTAAAATGAGAATTGTCAATTTGTATATGTTTTGACAATCGTTATGAAGTCTTTGTATGTCTCGATTAGGAAATCCGCTGAATCAAAGACCCATGCCATGCTATGTGAGAGCCAGACGCCTATGCAAATCCAGTGATCGCTGCATGAATTTAGTCATAGAAGGAACATATAAGCTCTTTTGCATCGAACAAAGTAATTTGAACAAAGCTAAGTATTCAGTCGAACTTACTTGAAGTGGTATGGTATCCATATATTATCGTGTTGTTGGAGATTTTTAAAACATAGGGCAATGTATGCCGCAACCTTGAGGGACTCTTCCAATATTTTCTTGTTCCTGATGTCCTCTTTCTTCTTAAGTGTCTTTCTAGCTCCTAGTTCTTTGCAATCTAGTTTTCACTCTTTTGGGTAATTAAAATTTGTTGATGCTATAGGCGAAGGGTCTATATACCCGTGTTTCAGAGCTGGCCTCTTTTTCACAAATTCCGCTTGCATTCTACAAATCACGGCGCAGGTTAGTTACAACAAAATTAAAAGATTACATTCATATCATATCGAGAGGGCAAGGACTTACAGGCACCATATGTGAATCAGATTCATTTCCATTCGTCCGAGGTGGAAGCATGCTTGGATATCCGTAAACTCAATGGCAATTTGCCCACCTAGGGCTCCAAATGTGCCGGCAGGGATCCATGCTTGTAAGATTTCTAGTTCTGTTATCTGAGCACACAAGTACCAATCGTGGAACTTTCTCATTCCACGTGGCAAGCACTGTATGACTCGGTTTGGTAGGAAGTTATTGCCTTTTTCATATTTATCCGGGCAATCATCTGACCATTTGAGGTTATCAACAGCTGGATACTTGTTAAACCCTTTGTGCAGTTTGCTAGTGGTGCCCTCCTCAGTGGTGCCCTCCTCAGAAGCTGGTGCTCTAAATTCTTTTACTTGGTTCTTAGGCTTGAACTGGTCATGAACCATCCACTTGTGCACCGAAGAGACGTCATTAATGCCCACATACGATGGCCTTATCTTGATTGGGATTTTGTTTCGAGCTTCCCATTCGGGCATGTCCTTGTCAACTTGTGCATCACCTGCTCCAGGGGCCACTTGTTCTTCACGTATCGACTGTTCACGAGGCAATTGTTGTTCATGAGACACTTGTTGTTCATGTATCGGCTGCGCTTGTTGATAAGAATGTTGCATCTCATCATGCCTTTGCTCGGTACGAGCTGGAGAAGGACGTGGCATGTCATCATGCCCTTGCTCGGTACGAGGTGGAGAAGGATGTGGCATGTCATCATGCCCTTGCTCGGTACGAGGTGGAGAAGTCTCTAGCGTGTGGTGGTCATGGTCATGGGCCGGTGAGTATACCTCCCCGTCCTCGACGGGTCGCTCCCGAGGATGAACTTCAGTTGGAGTTGGCGAAGACTCGGTCAATACAATGTCCCGTCTATGCCAGAGGCTGAACTGGTTCATGACGTCTCCGAGTAACACGAGCCCCTCGGGAGTAGGGTGTTCTATCTTCCAAGTCATGAACTCGGGCTTCACGGTATGCACCTTGACCCGAGTGTAGTCCTGCGGGATGTCCCTATTGTGCCACGTGCCGCCCGGAGGATGTGCCACGCCCGTTGCCACCTCAATGATCACGTTTTGCCTGCCCATCAGAACCACCAATTTACAACTGGTTGGCGCCCGTATGCGATCAACGGGGGTTCCGGTTGCATTGGAACCTTGACTGCTGGGAACATCCGGAGGGCTGCCAACTGCCACCAGTTCTCTGGGCGGCCCCATTGGTGTCTGTGGCTCCATCGTAGATAGTCCTTTCTCCACCAACATCTTTTCAACTAGAGCTTTCACTTGGCGCTCAAGATTAGACTCTCGGTCTCTGCCATGTTTCTTGTACATGTGCCTCTCCTCTACGAATCCGTGCTTCCAGGACATCCTCTTCCCTAGCCCCCTGGTGCGTCCTGTGTGCTCGGGGTTTCCCAAGGCAACGGTAAGCTCGTCCCTCTCTCTGGAAGGGTTGAATGCGCCCTTCTCCTTGTCTTCAGCAAGTTTCAGTATTTTTGATACTACCTCTCCAGTCTCTGGCTTAGCAAACTTGAGGCTACTACCGGATGAATCGACACTCCTCGCGTATATCCACTATTTAAGGCGTGGCTTCAACTTTGGCACTTCCGTATTCCCGGCAGCTTCGGCCTCTGCGTCCATCTTCCTAAAGACCTCTTGCTTGCCAGCGTAGCCACCGGGGCCTAGATGAGGGTAGTGTTGGTTCTTCTTCGCCTGCTCGCTGTTAC